AAAGCATAATTCTTAATAAGACATACAGGTAAATTATAAATTAACACAAGTTTTTGCTATCGGATTTCATATTAAGTCTACTACTGCCAGCTGCATTTACCACATTACACACACAGTATATTTAAACTAAGAAACCAAAACTTTATAATAATTGCTGCCGCAGCGAGCGAGCCTGAAGCGAGCGAGCAAGGCAGCAGATCCTAATTTTGTTTTGTGGGTCGAAATCAAAATTTTCTATTTGGCGCATTGCATGACGGTACCAGTGAATTTTAACCGTGGTACAGCGCGGTCAGGCATAAGGCAAACAGGCAATGTGATCATGTTTCATCTTTGGTCTTCTTTTATGGAAAGCCATAGCTGGCTTAAAGTGATCAAACGGCATTTTGTTGGGTGCTTTTAGCATTATACGGCGGTGCTTTTGCCATTATACACGGTGCTTTTGCCATTATACGCGGTGGTTCCAGTATTATACGCGGTGCTTTCACCATTTATATACGCGATGCTTTTGCAATTATACGCAGTGGTTCGAGCACTATATGCGGTGCTTTTAATATTATACGCGATGCTAGCTTTCATTCAACATTATTTCCATATTCTTTCCATGACATGTATATGATTTAACGATTGCTTAAATTTGGTATCTGCACGGTTGATAAATGCTTTTTGCCTATGGTCTGCAAGGACAATGACATGCTTTTCTGTGTATATACATGTAAATGAATATAACGCAGCGAATGCGCCAAACAGTATAAACGCGGCTGAAATACGATATTAAAATCTTAAATGTGCCGTTTGATTTAATTATGTTTTAGGATTTACAAATGCTTTGTCATTTGTATTTATACTTGTACTGCATCACAAGGCAGTACGTACTGTAAGTGAAAAAACTCCACATGTGAGATTGTCTTGTATATATTTTTGCTTTCTTTGATAAACACTATTAAACACGCAAATTTTAATTAGTGAGACGCAATGTTAAATGTCACCTGCATGTCATTGTCATTGCCCTTTAACCCCTGGTCTAATTGGCCGCTTTTGAAAATATTGATCATGACGAACCTGCCTTAATTAAATGCAAACTTTGTGTTTTAAAAACGGGTTAGGATAAAACGCGGATAAGGACGGACGGATGAATGACGGACGGACCGGACGGATGACATATATATGTCGTTATACAGTCTGCGCGTAGCCGCGCAGGGTAGTTAGTGCCTTACTAAGTCTTCGCTGGTTGTTATACTTTAAAATAATTTTGTATGTACCGAGAAATCAATATTCCGAGTATATAAATATATAAACTGGGATGTCACACTGATAGCTTGTTTACATTTCCTGGAGCATCATGAAATCTTATGTTTAACCACGGTGGTTTAACCCATTAGCTGGCAATGCGCCCTTCCCTTGTCGAGCGCCAGAAGATTAATTCATCAGCACAGTAATGACCCCTACTTTAGTATTTACCCAGTCCAACGCCAGACGATTTTTAAATACTCAGTCAGTGGTAGGGTACTGCCAATAAATGGGTTAACAAGTGCATAACAATAATTAGCCTGCATGGCAGGCGGTATTTCCCAGGCTTGCCCAATTCCTATCTGCCAATGGTTCTTGTTAATTCATCAGCACAGTAATGACCCCTACTATTAGTATTTACCCTGTCCAACGCCAGACGATTTTTAATACTCAGTCAGTGGTAGGGTACTGTCAATAAATGGGTTAACAAGGATAACAATAATTAGCCTGCATGGCAGGCGGTATTTCCCAGGCTTGCCCAATTTTAGGAACCGCCTGCCATGCAGGCTAAACAATAATAGGATGTTTCTGAAGGACTCGTTCAACACCCTGTAGTTTGTCTTTTGCTGTCAAAGGCAGCATTACTTCCCTGTGGGTAACCTAGTATAGAACTTACAGTGGTCAGTGGCCAAAGTACATTGAGTGGATTTAATACATGTACAATGCACAAATTAAGTGCAGTCATGTTATTTTATACACTAAATTATGGCCTTTACACAGCCTAAAACTTTACTAAACCTTACACTGAGTGCCAGAGTCCAAACAATTTACAAGGCTAAGCAAGCAAAACGATAAACGATATCTTTCAAATATGCCTCAAATACTGTACATACATGTATGTCGCATGTCGTTTATATTTTGCGTTCTGCACATAGCAAGCACTCACGACAACCACAATGCAATGCGCTAAATAAAATTTACTTATTTACTTTGCCATCATACTTATACATTCACTGGCTGGGAAACCACAACTATTGCCAATTACAGCATCCCCAATTCACTTCAAAACCAACCACCTCTCTGCACATATTAGAATGCTGCTTCGCTCGCTCGCTACACGCATAGGCGTACCGGGCGGGGGCAATTTTGGTTTGCAATAAAAAAAGTCGGGCAATTTTGGTTTGCAATAAAAAAAATGGGACATATTCTGCCAAATTTGTCTAAAATGAAGTCAATTTTTTGGCAAATTTTACGATTTTTCGAAAATTTGTGTTATGTTTCGAAAAGTATTGGTGGTCCGGAAAATTTTTTTGACCCCTAAAATGGTACACTGACCCAAATTTTTTTGGCGACGGGGAGGTCGCCAAAATAAATTTTCCGGAAAAAATTTTTTTGGTACTAGTCGGGCAGAATCCCAAAAAGTCGGGCAATTTTCTTTCCGCCCCCCTAATTTTTTCCTTCCGGTACGCCCATGGCTACACGGCAATTATAAAGGGTTATCCATGAGTTTTCACCACTAAAGTGTGTATTACTTGTCGGCTACGTCATGTAGTACACAATGCACTATAGTGGAACGAGAAAGAACACAAAGAAAGTGAAGAGAAAGAGACTTGGAGCAAGTCTACTTTTTGTCTTGAAGCAAATTTTCAATGCAGGGGTGGGTGGGTCATCAATTTTTATGCAACGGCAAGGGGGCGGACCATCAATAATTATACCTAACTTGGGGGGCGAGTTTTCTAAAAATATGTTTTTAAAAATTTGAATTTTCCAGCCCCACACCCCCCCCCATGCTAGTCATACCAGCTTTAGTGCTGTGCGCCGGAGTTGCCAGAGCTGGAGTTCTGCCGGAGCTCCAGCAGTTTTTCTGACGCTGGAGCCGGAGCAGAATTTTGTATGCCGAAGCCCGGAGCCGGAGTTACGTTTTCCCAGCTCCGGGAAAATGACAGGAAAACAATATGAAATGAGACAAATGTCAAACGATTGTTAGTTACTGCAAACTGCCAATTTCTGCTAATGAATTCATCATAGACTCAAACTGCCACAGCCCACAGGAACAGCGTCGAAAAGCTGTAATACGATCGCAACTTACAAACGTCATGCTTTCATGAAGCCATCTGACTTAGCCCTACATACTGTAGTCTGTGTATTCATGCCTTGTAAATAACGAAAAAGTACAAAACAAATAAATATCAACCTTTTGAAAATGACAGAGTACTTTGTTTGCGTGCGAACAATTGCGCTGTGGAGTCTGAGAGTGTTAGCGTCATGCTTCGCGTCATGCCTCGTGTCAAAGATTTTTCGAGGCTGGTTTCCATATAGATATTTTCTGTGTGGTTAAGTGTTTTCACTGTTTTGTTTCCTGAGTTATGTTATCTGATAATTAGGAAGCGCGAAAAGAGTTATTCATAATAATATTAATAAATGTTCTCTGATCGTAAAACATTTATTTAATATTTTATGATGTGGCCGGAGCTCAGAGCTGTAATTCGGCCGGAGCCGGAGATGAAAAACCGGAGTTTGCACAGCACTACCTCCTCCCATGTACCTTATGACCGGTACCTAATGCTGATTATGCTAGTGATGGGCGATACCAGCTTTTTTGGTTTCGATACGATACCAGTCCGATACCATGAATTTTGGTCGATACCAATACCAATATCAATACTCAATTTTTTCCATTCACTAAAATTATGACTTTTAAAACAAGAACATTAATATTAACAAGTCAAAGAATACTCTAACTGGAGTACCTGCCAAATAACCAAACATAACATTTGCAATTATGATTTTAAATCTAAACAATATCAACGTGTTCATTGTTTTAAATATATTGCTAATTAGCTACATGTTTTTGTTTAAGAACAGCATTATGTCAACATTTTTTGCCTTCAGTCTGTTGCCTTCATGAAATATTAAGCGATTGGTCAGGAATACTGACAAAAAAACATTGCGGGCTGAAGTGGTATCGAGTTACCAATACTTTTTACGAGTATTGAAAGTATCGATATTTTTGTGAGTATCGATGATTTCAATACTTTTTCGATAGTATCGCCCATCACTAGATTATGCTGAAAAAAAATGGTGGCCTTGTAAACACAGAGTGATTGCTTATACTTTAAATATTGAAATATTTCGGTTGTTTCGGCAGTTTTTATTAATACTTTGCAGCATGATCAGCAATATGATACCTTAATCCCACACATGTTAAAAGCTGGAAATGCCTATTTTGTATAAATCACTTGGTTTCAAACCAAATGGCACGACACGACGTACAGTATTCAACTGGGCTAAGCCATTGTTAAAATTTAGCATCGGATGGCATATAGTTTGGCAGGAAACGTTGCGCATTTTGGGCGCAAAATCAAAACAATGTTTACCCGTCTATACAATCGCTCAGTTTAATATCACCAGTCTATATTGGGCCATTCCATTTAATGTACACACCCCCCTGTGGACGAAGTCAATAAAATTTGAACCCCTAAGAAAAAAAGATCAAAGTGCCGATGCAAACACCCCTCCAGAAATTAAGAAATTTTTGCCTTACCCCTCGGAAAAAACGCAAAGATCAAAGGATGCCGATGCACACAACCCCTCAGAAACGGCTTTTTCAACCCCCCTCAGAAATTTTCGTCCACAGAGGGGTGTGTATATTAAATGGAATGGCCCATTAACCAAATCCCAGTAAATTTATTTATTTTACCTGTTGAAGGCTGTAGATCTGATAGCAGAATACTAGCGAATAAAAATATTTGTTTACGAAACCTAGCTGTGCATCACGCATAGCTGACATACCTTTGATATGCTTGATCAATAATCTCTCTAGATCTTAAAGCCCAGTGTTTCATACTAGTCTCTTGCCCTTTCCTCGCTTTAACCAGCATTGGGAAATCATCTTTCGGGCCTGACAGATACTTCGGAAAGCCAGGTGAGTTTGAACTGACCAAATGTTTTCGTCCAGCCAAGAGTACTGCGGTCTGAAGCTCAATTTCATTCAGACTACCGCGACTAAAATATTCACCCATATGCAAAAATCTTGAAGATATACGCTTGAATATAATACTCGAAGCGAATGTGCTCATATTTTGCATACTGACTAGCCGTGCTGCCATTGGTAGTGCCTATTTATAAAATTTCCAATGCCAATGCATAAAATATCAAAATATGGCGAATACAAAAGCCAGTGCTCTCACAATCAAATTTTCGAATTCCTTAGAAAAAGCTCGAAAATTCCTCAGATTTCCTTAAAATTCCTTAAATTGGTAAAATTACTACAAGGCCTGATCACAGAGTTGCAAAAAGTGTTTTTTTCACCTGATTTACCTGAATTTTTCGAACTGAACGTTCTTTAAAACCGTATTTTTTGAAAATTTGAAGTTTCTAGACCGTCGGAAATGGCATTTTTAGAGTCTTTCATACCCAATATTTTAGTATTGCCTAACAATGAAGATAAGTATTGCTACTTTCAGTTTATAATCGGAAATTGAGAAAATTTTGGAAATTTGGAGTCTCCAGATCGTCAGAAAGGGTATTTCACAATTGTCTCCCTGCCACAACACGTCTCAACGTCTTTAGTTTGTTTGATTGTTAACTCCAATTCAGATTAGAGAGTTCACTTTTTTATGCCATGAGAATTACCTGAATTTACCTGAAAATCTACAGGATATATACCTGAAATTGTTCATGAGCAATATTAGGGGTGTTGCACCCTCCCTCCCCCCTCCCCCGGTCGCTAGGGCCCTGAGAACTTAGAAAATCTGTAGATTTCAGAAGAAACAGCATACACTGACATTTAAGAGGGCCTCTCAGTAAAATCCACCCACTGGTTTGGGGAAGGAAAAATAGATTTAGCTCATATTTTGCATATGAACTAGACTTTGGTCAATATTAATCGAGCTTCTTTCAGAACGTTTCAACTTTCTGTTTTATAGGAGTTATAGCCCATGTTGAAATTTGACCTTGCGAGAGTATTTTCAGACCGGAAATGAAGGGGAATTTTACAAGAATTCATCTGATTTTTTAAAAACGTTGTGATGCGCTTATCCTCTCCAGTTACTGTTCACATGCAAGACTAACACTAATACTTTCGTTTTCATGGAGATTGAACAACTTTATTTGCTTAATACGATTTTTTTATACTGCTTTACGAAACTATGTTTTCAAGATGGCGATGAGAGGCTGAAAATTGCTCATATTTTACTTAAAATACCTCAAAAGTGGCACCTATCTGAAGTTCAAAAGGCATGTAATTTGAAAGCATACCTACTAAAGTTAAGTAATCAGGAATAAAACTCGTCTGCAAGCAATTTTCTGAAAAGTTATAAATCTCCAAATTGGGTTTATTTTTAGCTGTTTGTTTACATTCGCGTGTTCGCTGATCAGCGACACTAATAATTGAAGAGTTAAAATAAGCTGATTTATTACCCAGTAAACTTTCTTAGCTTGTTCACAAGATTATATACAATTTTGTGAAAATATAATTACAATATATACAAGCGATTGTGTACAGAACATTCCCGAATTCGAATTGCTTTACATTTACACTTGACTTCCACTTGCACTAATTACACTTACACACACAGTAGTACAGTTACAACGATTCTGCTGATGTCTACGACCCTGATATATCTTCTAATGTTATTAAATATATATTGGTAATATAATAAGAACTTCGTCAAAAACATTGACACAATACCATAATCTCCTGATTATGACTTTGATCTGCCGCTCCCACGGCGGGAGGTGCATGTCTGAACGACCAATGTGAGTAGAAAACTTACATAAGTGTCTCTGTGTGATGTTTAGGTCATGAAATAGTGCTACAGGTAATATGGTTTAATGCACTTTGCAGAAACTCACCTGATTTTGATCTCGCTCAATATGATAATCAGAATCCTGTTTAGCCGAAGGGTTGCTATTTTTATAAAAATGCGTGTACTGACCCAAGTCTCGCCCGATTAGACAAATTTGGGTAACGTTTGTTTATACCCAATTCACAACTTTATATAACACACATGCCTAGTTACTATTGTTCTAGATTACAAAAGCATAAAATAAAACGGCAACCGGTCCGCAATGAAACATTTTTTGGCCGGTCAATAATAAAATGGGTGCAATACGCATGCGTGTCAACCGCGAAGTTCCAAAATTCATTTTTTAAACTTTTTATTTACGGCGTTCCATTTATCCAGTTTTGGTTTCAAATTAAGTTCACTCCAATAACCGGTGAATTATTCATACTTCGACACTTATATACTATATAACAAAACACTTATTTGCTGAGACTTCAGGAAAGCAGTGTGTTTTGTGGCCCCTCGACTGCCGTTGTTGCCCTCGGCTTCGCCTCGGGCAACAACGGCGGTCTCGGGTCCACAAAACACACTGTTTACCTCGGTCTCAGTAAATAAGTGATAATACATAAGTTTAATGTTTAGTTACTTTTGTTCTATTCAGTCTATGCTTCTGTAAACTAGAATAATAGTAACTAGGCATGTGAGTTATCCAAAGCTGTGAATTGGGTAGCAACGATGTAAACAACGTTACCCAAATTTGTCTACTGGGTTCATTTTTATACAAGTCTATCCACTGATCTCATATTGACAGGATAGACCCAATTGAAAATGAAACTGGTCTAGTAACAGACTGAATAGTCACGTTCGTCAGCCGTTCCTGGGTAGGTAAAAGTGCCCTGCTCTGGCAAGTATAAGTTCACTCTCGTTGATGGTAAGCCTCGTGAGGTGACAACTGCTGGGGTGAGTACAAATGTCTGCATTACACTCCCCAATTTGTGCAACTCTCTGTATTCCCCGGCTTTCTCCACATGCAAAATTCCCAAGGCCAACAAAAGAACAGTTGTTTTCCATGAGTCAAGCATGCATAAAGTAAAAATAGGAGCTGCTATCAAAAATAACTGGCAAGCTAGTGTGGCAGTTCAGCATGAGCTCCACCTTTGAATTTACTATGTGAGTAAATTCTTAAACACGTCCGAAATTATCATTATGATAAAGTCGCAGCACATTTTGAATTTATCATAATAATAAATTCGCGGCACTAACCCCTAACCACTAATCCCCTAACTCCTCCCCTAACCACTAATCCCCTAACTCCTAACCAGTAATCCCTAACTCCTAACCCTAACTTTTTTAACCGTTTTAAATTTTTTTAACTTTTTTAAAAATCTAACTTTTTAAACTTTTTTTCTTTTTAAAACTCTTTTAAAACTTTTTTTAAAACTATTTTTTTGAAAATCTCTGTCTCTTACTGCAGTATTTCTGTTATTGTAGCGGTTAACAAATTATAGGGAAATACGACGACATAAGTTAAATTTCAAAACTTTTATGTGTTCATATGCAGTGAATCAAACGAAAAATGCATCCTTTGTTACAATTATTTAAAATATTACAAAAATAAAAAAACAACTAAATTTTATCGCCATATTTCTCCATAATTCGGCAACCGCTACAATAATGCAAAAGTCAAAACAAAATAGTAAATGACAACAGACTACAAAAGCGGAAGTGGGAAGGTTGTAGTATTTTGACTGCAATCATGTACAAAAATATGTTGCATCCATGCTGCAAGAATTAATGTCCGACCTTTCCGGCAAAATTTCCATTTACAGGGACAGAAAAAGATTACGAGACGAGTTGAATAAAAAAGTTAAAGCACCGAACACTTTTTATATACAGCCAGAGATACTGACAGCTTTGAAATTTGCTACAACCACAGAAAGTACCGCCCGTTTATACTTTAAAAAGATATTTAACAGTTGTGAAATTATTCATGCGAATAAACCAAGAATGGTTAAGGTTGTATTTTGAATGTTTCTATGTTGTGAATTAGAACCTGGATAATAAACCAGCTTATTTAACTTTTTAATTATTACTAGTGTCGCTGATCAGCGAACACGCGAATGTAAACAAACAGCTAAAAATAGACCCAATTTGGAGATTTATAACTTTTCAGAAAATTGCTTGCAGACGAGTTTTATTCCTGATTACTTAACTTTGGTAGGTATACTTTCAAATTACATGCCTTTTGAACTACAGATAGGTGCCACGTTTGAGCTATTTTAAGTAAAATATGAGCAATTTTCAGCCTCTCGTCGCCATCTTGAAAACATAGTTTCGTAAAACTATAAAAAAATCGTATTAAGCAAATAAAGTTGTTCAATCTCCATGAAAACGAGAGTATTAGTGCTAATCTTGCATGTGAACAGTAACTGGATGGGATAACACATCATAAAGTTTTTAAAAAATCAGATGAATTATTGTGAAATTCCCTTCATTTCCGGTCTGAAAATATTCTCGCAAGGTCAAATTTCAACATGGGCTATAACTCCTATAAAACAGAAAGTTGAAACGTTCTGAAAGAAGCTCGATTAATATTGACCAAAGTCTAGTTCATATGCAAAATATGAGCTAAATCTATTTTTCCTTCCCCAAACCAGTGGGTGGATTTTACTGAGAGGCCCTCTTAACTTTTGAGAATTTTAATGGAAAGACAGCCATATGTACATTTACGACATACAGAACATACGAATGTAATTATGTGCATATAGTGTTGCTACTTTCAGGTTTAAATCTCATTTGCGTGGCGTGGTTATTCTCCGTCAAACGTTTTTAGTCCAGGATAAAATGTTTCGGAAATTCCTTAAAAAAATCCTCAAAAACCTAAATTCCTTAAAAAAATCCTTAAAACTCTTCAAAATTCCTATTTTTAAGGATAATTCCTTAAAAGTGAGAGCACTGACAA